TGGACATGGCATGGAAGCACTTGAAAGAGAATTGGCCAAATCCCTAGCAATCCTGGGCTGATAGACCGCAGAAATACGGGTTCAAGCAACAAGCAGCTCAAACCTGAATAGATCAAACCCCACAAACTTCGCAACAGTATGTCAAACTAATGACTTTGACAATCCCGACCGACTGGAAATTGACATGCTGCCTTTACGCATGCAATTGGATCATATAGCAGTCCCCACAAAACCCGTCAACCCCCATCGAAACAAAGGATGACTACAGAGTATCCAACGCACCGCCATCGCCGATCTCCGCTGGCACCGAGGTCCCGAGCCCACGTTGTCTGTGGCATCAACGGGCGTCGCTGCCAGCAACACCTTGACCGCTACCACGGTGCCTTTCTGTGCTTCTTCATGCAGCATATCACCTTGGAGCAGCGGGTGCACCTTCGGGGACGAGCTGAAGGGTCGGAGCCGATCCAGGAAGTGCCCTTGTATGGGGGGCTGGAAAAATCTCGGGATGAAACCCTATGAGCGTTATATTCCTGCGAAAGTGAAACGTAGATAATTGCAGTCTCACAATGCCTACCACGTGCCCGCAGGTGCCATTCATTGCCTCACATCTGCCAACTCAATCATGGGCTGAAAAATCTGCAGTTCTTGTGCTTTACTGCGTACGTACTATGTGGCAGTGGCAAACGTGTTTCTTGATGCTTTTTGTGACCAGCAGCAGCAGCAGCAGCATGTCTGGAAATGTTTGGACACATATTTGCTCCACAGATTGAAACATTAAGCGTCCAAATGCAGCTCAGAACTGTTACCTGTTGAATCTTTGCCCTGTCAAGGCCAAAAAAACTACACCCTCCGAGGCCCCTGGCGGCGCTGGTTTGAATCGGGCACCTCAACTGCTTTGAAGGTGGTTGAATTGTAAGTGTTTGATACTGCGTCTATTCCATTTAACGGATAAACTTTAGGAGCAGGACAAATTACAAACACAAAGCCGCCTGCCTGAGGTCCTGACTCCCTCATTCTTCACGACGAATTCAATGAAGCCCTGTATGAACTCGAACCCTTCCTTGCTGTCAGCAAGTTCCTGACAAGCTACGCCCAGAGGCCGGCATGAGGTGCATGAGCTGCTGATAGCGAAATGGATGCAACATGACACGACGGCAGTGGGATAGCATTTGTTGAGTCTGTGGGTGCTTCGAACAAATGGGTCTCAAACCCAGGGTTTAGTAAAGTTGTCAACCAGCGCAGTTGGCAGCGAGAATCACACAGTTTCCGTCCGAGCCAGTTACATCTCTACCCAAAACAAACCTACCTCAATCACCCTCAAGCAATTCGACAAACCCAGTGGGAAAAACAAATCCTTCCAGGTCAGCACACAGCCCGAGTCTGGCCTCGGTCTGGACTTCTCTCACCAACTCTTCCAGACGCGGTGTCCGCAGCAGGGTTGGCAGCGCAACACGAAGGAGTTCCCGGTCCTTTTCAAAGGCCTCCAACTGCCGAATTGGATAACCCCTCCTTTCACTAAATGTATATAACCAGAATGGGCCTGTTCATGCAGGGTTTAGCCTGTGACTAGTGACTACTTCAATCTGAACAAATCTCGTCGGACGCTCACATCTGGATCATCGAAGCCGGCACAAACATTTGTCTTTCAGAAAAATTATCCTTTCGGTGTCCTTTCCCAAAAAACAATGTCTTTTGCTGCGAAAAGGCGGAAACCGGCAAATGGTTAGAAGCCAGAAATGACATCTTTTGGTGTCCCAATGGCGTCTTTCCAAATCCATGGATATAGCACATGTTGCCAACACTTGAAACGGCACGTTCTTCTTACAGTATGAATTCTCTGACTCCGGCAGAAATTTAGGCTGAGTGAAGATCTATATATAATGTGTATGCGGTAGTGGTAGCAGTAGTAGCAGTAGTAGTAGTAGTAGTACTACTACTACTACTAGTAGTCGTAGTGGTAGTGGTAGTGGTAGTGGTAGTGGTAGTGGGAGTGGGAGTGGTAGTGGTAGTGGTAGTGGTGGTAGTGGTAGTGGTAGTGGTAGTGGTAGTGGTAGTGGTAGTGGTAGTGGTGGTAGTAGTCGCGGTAGTAGTGGTAGTAGTGGTAGTAGTGGTAGTAGTGGTAGTAGTGGTGGTAGTAGTAGTAGTAGAAACAATAATAACAGCTAGTTGGGCCAGTTGGAGCCACAAATGAAAAAGTCGACCAGGGGTTGGGGAATGTTTGCCCTCTCTCTTACTCTTCAGTGGTTTTGTCCCAGCTGCAAACATAACATGTAATGTTGCTGGACTGCATTTTGCACTTCTGACCTTGAAAGGTGTCCGATGTCACCTCATCTTCTGCCGAGACATTACTTTTCACTGCAGAAGCAAAGAGACAAACGTCAGGAAGAGGTCAAAGTGTGTACGAATCAAGTGGGTTCAAAAAAAAGGATCTATATAAGACAAACCTACGTCCAAGAACGCACATCCAAGTTCATTCGAAGCGCAAAGCCTTGCTGAAGATCGGTGTTCAAAAGAATGTAGAAGATTCCTACAATTACGATCGAAAATTGTTGGGGGCTCCCACGACCGCCAACTCCCGACCAATGCTAGCCCCCACCCACCATGCCAGCCTCTTCCCACAGGAGCTGTGCCCTTAAAAAGTCTGGCTTGGACAAGAAGCCGGACAGCTTCTTTCCGAACTGTGGAGCAACGAGATTTCGCAGCGGTCTAAAAAAAACAAAGGTAGCAAGAACCTGCCCAACTGGGATGGCCAGGTTGATCACCCCAACAAACAAGGACCCGCCCTCGAAGTAGAGGAAGAAGATCGCGGCCACCCCTTGGGGCACATTCTCCCATAAAAGCAACTCCCTCTTCGTGGGGGTTACTTGTTTATAAAGAAGTTGGCAGAACATGTCAGAAAGGTGCTGACAAGACAGGCCCGGACAACATGAACTAATTGAATCTTCTGATGCGGGGTCTGCAGGGAGCGCCATCAACGCAGGGAGATAGCACCCAGCCAATTCGGCCAGGGTATTGTCTTGCATGATCAAGATCCCATGGATTACCATTAGGTAAATCCAGCTAGCCACACCAATGCCCTTTAAGAGGAGGTGGTCTGATTGCACACAAAGACATGAAAAAATAATGTCCTTCAAAGTATCAAAACCATCCGATACAAAGGGCATTAAGTACACAAATGCGGATTCGGCAAAGGCGGTCACTGGGAAGCTGAGGTCCTTGGGCAACAGAAGTACCGCCAACACTGCTTGCGAAAGCAAACATAGTGCTCCTGCAGGCATGGTTGAACGCATAGCGAAGCAGCGAAGAGTTGCAGGTCAGGGAAGAAGCCGATTCGTGCAAAATGCCATTTTCCCCAGATAGCGAAGCTATGGGGTTCTTACTTCAAATCACAATGAGCTGCCTGCGCGCGCTTTCGAGACAGGTTGCCCGTCCGTGTTGGTGCTGTGAGGCTGTGCACGTGGTGGAGACAGGGCGCCGGCCCCTGTCCTGCGTGCTGGCTCTGGCTGCGCGCGTGGTGGAGACAGGGTGCCGGCGCTGGGCGCCGGCTTGAGCTGGCTGCGCACGTGGTGGAGACAGGGCACCGGTGCTGGTGCTGGGCACTGGCTGTGCGCGTGGTGGAGACACGGTGCCAGTGTTGGGTGCCAGGCGCCAGTGCTGGCGCTGGTGCTGTGGGCTTGGCTGTGCGTGCGGCGGCGGTGCCGGTGCTGGGTACTGGCTGCGCAACACTCACATTGGCCGGCACCACCGCGGACACCCCACTCAACGCACAATTGACAACGCACAATTGACACTCTTGATGTCGTTGCCATTATTTCACACGCGCTCCACTTGCATTTTCCGAGTGTGCAACACCACTTTCAAGCAAAACTGGGAGAGGCGCTGGTAGCGGCTCCCAGCTGTCTCCTGCACTTATCACGCTCATCGAGCGTTCACCCAGCTCTATTTCACTTACTGCAGGTATGTCGACAACCGCTTCATTGCCTTGAACGCGCACTTCCACTGCCATCCAAAATCTTATTCACCCTGATTTCTTTGGCAACCCCGTCAAGCTTGAACCCGTTGACGATTTCCACCTCTTGGGCTTCGACATCGACATCGACAACTGCACCATCACCTACATCGAATCCAACCCTCTTCCGCTTGGAAGATCAGAGATAACGCTTCAGCAGGCTCAGTTCGACTGCGCTTCTCAGGGCTTGCCTCACGATTACACGCTATCAGAGCCTACAGCTTTCCTGCAGCGGCGATCCAAGCCACTGTTGATGATCTGATCTCACTGTATGTCCATAAGGGACATGACATTGCGGAGCGTCGAAGGTGATATTGCAAAATAGAAGTCTCAGTGTGCGCCGAATTGCCGGCTACCTGTGTGTATGTGTGTGTAACCTTTGGAGTCACAAGGATCCTCTTGGATTGTTGTTTTGTTGTCTGAAACCGTTTTTTTCCGCAGGGGGGTGCAGAGCACAGTGGAGGCTGCACCCAACGAAGCTATCCACTTGTGCTGGAAGCAGAGCTATTCAGACACACACATGGACATACACCCCCTCCCTGCCCGCTTTCTTTCTTACGTTTTTCGTCGTTTCTTGGCTTTCTTTCAGGCTTTTAGGGTGGTTCTTGAGGCTCGTTTTCCTGCCCCAGTCAAGGGCTAAGTATTCAGAAACTAGAAGGTTTCATAACAAGTGGGCCTCGTAACTACTCCTACTTGTCTCTCTTGCCCTCGCTTGCTCTTTTTGTTTTTCTATGTCTGTCTTTCTAAGGCTTGTTAGGTGGCTAGTACCTCACTTGAGCGCCGATATCGGCGTGGTGTGTGTGTAACCCTTGGACTCATAGGGATCCTTTCGGATTTGTTTTGCTTTTAGATCTTTATGCTATACAGCAGGGGGGCAATGCACGACTGACAGACATTGCCCAACGAAGACGCTGTCAGTTCGTGGTGAAGCAATGCGGGACGCCGCATTGTGTGCCTGCTTGATTTTTAACATTTGCTGAGTTGGCCTCCGCAGACTTGCACGCTACGCCGTCACCCTGTCATTTCGTTTTCGACTTGCGAGTTTGGCCCCCTTTCCTCTTGAAGACCTCCAGGCTCCGACGGTCCTTACTGGTACTCTCAGGAATTGGAACCCTAGGCCGGCGTGTGGCACCGTCAGTTCAGTACACCCTATCCTAAGTGTGTTTGGCCTTGTGCCAACCCGGGATGAGCCCGCAGAGTGCCTCCCGTGGACCCGTTGAACGGGGGTACGTCGAACGTATCCACTGCCCGGATACAGAGCAGCTCGAAGCGAGCGTAGGTGGCCGAGGCCGTACATACGATGATTTTCGTCTCATCTTTGGAATTCCAAGTTGGCTCATGCCTTCACGTGACCGCAGCGGTCCAAGCAGCCAGCCATTTTGGCACGGCGTACGTGGCCGCAGCGGCCGAAGTTTGTTCATGGTTCATTGGAACCTGTTGGAGACTTAGGTGCACATACATCGTACACACTTCAACGAGGCAGGTCTTCCTAGGTTGTATAATGAGGTTTGGTTTCATCGGTTCCCGTCCCCTCCATTTGGTTCCCCTTTCACCTTTTCCCCTTCACACACTTCTTTTCCTCTTTCTTTTCATGTCTTCCCTTGCTTCATGTCCGTTCATCTCACTCCTTTCGTTCTTTTGCGCGTACAATGGTCCGGGCCTTAGTGTGTACGCGCACAACTACCTTCAACTCAGGTGTTAGGTCGCCCAGGTCTCGACAATGCGGTGGGCTCATCGGTTGTCCCTGTGCACTTGGTTTCCCTTTCATTGCCACCACTCACACTTTTGTCCTGTCTGTCTTCCTTTTCATGTCTTCATCCTTCTGTCCTTTCTGCGCGCACATTTACACATTCGTCCTAGCCTTAGTTTTGCCTCCCCTCGGGGAGGCGTGTGTGTGTGTAACCCTTGGACTCATAGGGATCCTTTCGGATTTGTTTTGCTTTTAGATCTTTATGCTATACAGCAGGGGGCAATGCACGACTGACAGACATTGCCCAACGAAGACGCTGTCAGTTCGTGGTGAAGCAATGCGGGACGCCGCATTGTGTACCTGCTTGATTTTTAACATTTGCTGAGTTGACCTCCGCAGACTTGCACGCTACGCCGTCACCCTGTCGTTTCGTTTTCGACTTGCGAGTTTGGCCCCCTTTCCTCTTGAAGACCTCCAGGCTCCGACGGTCCTTACTGGTACTCTTAGGAATTGGAACCCTAGGCCAGCGTGGGGCACCGTCAGTTCAGTACACCCTATCCTAAGTGTGTGTCTCAAAGCCTGTTTCTAAGGCTGCACACATTGTAAATTAGTTAAAACAAATGTTAACAGCAGGGGGCCGGCCAATGAAGACACCCCCCACCTGGGTGAAAACGTGCCTGCATTTTTCCAATTTAATTTTTAAACAAGCTCTAAAGTGCTAATGCAAGATGAAAACAATGTTGAAATATCTCCAAATTTCCGGATTCCATCGCCTTTCCGTTCTGCCTTTTTGAGTCAAGGTCTATTTGCACTAAAGGGGAACTTCGTTAACTGATCCAGCTCTTGCGAGCAACGTTCTAAGTGTGTGTGTGTGTGGGCATGCGCACCTTGCTCTGACCCCAAACGATGTTTCCCAAAGTGGACTCTCGCTTCAGTGTGACACGTACTAGGGTCTCTTAACTACGGGAGTGTGAGTTGTAATAATTGTGACATTACCGAAGTGTCCCACGGAAGTGAATGACTGTGACTACTCGTCGCGACCCCAAGGTGTGAAGCAACGTGGTTTGAAAAACACAATTAGTTTGCACGAACATCATTAATTACCTCCTGTGCCCTGCTTGGCTGCTTGGAAAACAGTACTGTATAAAAGCTCTAGAAAAGCCAAGGAGGAAAAACCTGAAATTCTGAAACCTGCCTCCAAGCATGAGACCCACGTACAGCTCTCAGTCCAGGCCGCTATTCTTGTCTAGCCGGTCGGACTGCAAAGAGTAAATGCAGGTGGCTGTGCAGGCGATTGCGGTGCATGCAAAGGCCCCAGCGGTCCAAAGCCGCTGCGTTGTCACATGCACGGCGCGTTCACAACTCTCAGGACACTCCTCGTCACCTTGGTCGTCTCCTTCGTCCTCGGGGCTCACCCTCGAATAAACCTCGCGGCGGCTTTCCCGAAAACTCACTCTAAGTCGTTCATACATATGCGATCGCCAGCAGGATCGCCACCACTGCCGACATTTCGGTCCGACGACCATGACAGCCGTCCCAAGCAGTGTGGTTACGGCTAGAATCACAATGTAAACTGCCAGAAAATACTGGTTTCGTGCCTCCTTCTCTGTCTTTCTCATTCTTTCAATCTGCTTGATGGTAGGTAGAAGCTTTGCTACTGGTTGTCGCACGATAGGAGCATGGACCCTTTGTTTTTGGAACCACAGAATCGGATTGGCGGCCATGGGCAAGCCGCAGCAAGCGTCGGCGCGGGCGATGACCGATGCTCCGGCGTTTTGAAGCTCCCAAAGAGCTGCGGCATTGGTCGCAACTTCAAGGATCGGATGGAAAGGATTTGAGTCGACTCACTTGACTTCAAACTTCAAACTCTCTGTCTCTTTCTGACAAAACCATAGTCCTTCCACACACCTCCACTCTGCAATTCATGTCATCGCTTCAAACTCTCAAGCTCAAGCAAACGCATCTTTTCACTCTGTCAGATTGCTGCATCTTGTAATGCGTCTCTGCAGGGTTGTGGTCATTATGACTATATATATACATATAACCCTTCGTCAGCGTGAGTTCCGCTCGACTGAAAAACACAAAATACATGAGTCTGTTGGGCTCCTCTAGTTGTTTAAAGTTTAAGCTTTCTTCAGGGTCGCACTGTCGCACCTTCCTTCTGGCGCCACCTGCCACGGCGCGCAGTCTCATGGACGAGCCAGTGACAGACACCTGGCCGAGCCCAGCCACAGGAGTCAAATCACTTTTTCACTCGGACTTACGTCTTGTATCAAAGCAGGCTGAGATGTCTCGGACGTTAACAGGAAGTTCGTTAACCTTGTACACCAAAGAGCTCCCAGCCAGTGGGTTCCGAGTTCCGCTTTTTCTGGACTTTTCTGGTAGTGAGCGACTCATTGGCCATGTGTGGGAACCATTTTGGGAGTTCCAAAGATCCCAAAGTCCGGCGTGAACGGGAACTTCCCACCGTCACAGAAATTGGTTGACACGGCGAACAAGACTTCAAACGGCTGCCTTGTCCTGTATATGGTCGAAAGAAGGCAAATTGGCCTTTTGCGCACGAGAGGCCTCTAAAGCTTTGCAGATTGCATGGCAAAGTTTTAGGAGTTGAATCAGCACCACCTCCAACTCATTACTGGAAAAGAAAACGTCGCAAATCGGTCCTCTCTCAGAGCCAAGAGCGCCGGGCGAATGGGGCAACGCCCGTCCCAGCGCACTAAAAGAACAGAATTGCTGAGAAGCAGAACCTCCAGTGAGCACAAGGTGCTAGGGCAAAGGGTGCTAGGACCGCTAGGACGTCCTAGCCAGAGTGGCAGAAACTCCAAACACGTCCAGGTTGAACAAACTCATCAATCTTACACTGTGGGAGAATCCGGCAAAGGAAAACGAATGAAAAAGATGCGCCGCCCTCTATGTCAAAGTTTGTCCACATGGCCGTTGCTGAAGGTGCAAACCCAAAAGTCAGATGCATCTCACCCCCATCGTAGGATTGAGCATGGCCGACGGCATCACAATGACGAAGGGCGTTCCCCAGTAACAATTAGGCCATTAGATCCTGGTTGTTGGTCCCACCATTTTCACGAAGCTGAAACGGCTCAGTGAGAGGGCTCTACGACAATCTGTTCATTGAGAGAGATGTCTTGAGATCTAGAAATATCAAGAGCTCTGTGAGGCCTCACATGTAGTCAAGTGTAGGTCCAGAGTTCTAGACACTACAGATCTGGAGGCCCGCACATTTGCCATGAAATCTGCACTTCAACCTCACAAAACGGCACTGCTACGAAAACTGCACGTCCAGGTTCACAAAGCGCTGTACATGCGAAGGGAGATTGGACCGGCTTTGCTTCGATGTGCAGATTTCGTGGCAGGTGCAGTGCAACATAGCATTGCTCTTCGGCGTGCGCTGATTTTGTGGAAGTTGCAGTGAAACGTGACCTTTTGACATGTGGTTTGTTTTCAGAAGTCGGGGAAGTCTGCAGCGAAAACTGCATGGTGGCGTCTTGATGTTGTCTTTGGAGGCTCTTGCTGCAAAACGCCTTGGCAGGACTGCACGACGATTAAATCTTGATGCGCAGATTTCGTGGCAGGCGCCGTCTTTTGTGAACCTTCACACAAACGAAGTGCACATGTTTGGGCAAAGCAGTTCTTTGTGAAACTCGAAGCTCGTGGCAGGCGCACTATTTTGTGAACCATTTCGTGGCAGGCACAGTCGACTTTGGACCACCAAATCACAAGGTTGCCCGCGCTGGCCACGAAAAGTGATCACCAAGTCCAAAAATGCGCACGGCGCCACAACGAGACCGTAGTCGAGGAAAGCTGCACCAGCTCAGGCCCACCAGTTTCTGTGAGCCCGCGCAGTCGAAATAGACTTCGAAGACTTCCAGGTGAATGAATGCACAGTAAATAGTAGCGATTTTGCCAAGCGCCCCGACGGAGCACCTCGACCAGAGACCCGGCCTCAACACTTACCGTAAGAACCCCTACAGTGTGACCACACGGTTTGGTCAAACAAAAACTTCTGAGAAAACATGTTCTCGAGCGCAGTCATTGAAACTGAATCGTCAAAAATGCCGGCGACAAAGAATGCAAATGTGAATATGAACTTCGGCACCACCGTTCCAATAATATTGTCCTTTAAACACCATTGAAGAACAGCATCTTTCATCCAAGAGACATGACTGTAAGCGATCGTGGGACCACGACCACCGTGGTCACAGCCGCAGTCTGAAGCAACCCATCTCCGGTTGGAGCGCCTGTCACATTGTTTCCTGAAAAGCCAAGAAACCAGCGTGCGGGGCGAAAAAATATTGCAGCGCGGGAAGAAAACAGTGGGCACGCAGGCACAACACGTAGTTAGTTTTCAAGCGTGGAAAGAGAAAATAAATAGAGCAACAAGTGTGTACAGTTTCTCTGGATTGCCAGGCTCCACATGAAAATGCTTGTTATATGTATATGTACATGTATATATATATATACATTTCAACTGCATCCACCAATGATGGGTTGTGTGTATATCCAGGCGTTCTATAGGGGAATGGTGTCTATAAAGTGAGGGGACTAGGGACGTAAGGCCCATATAATGGCACGCTAGGCATTTTCTATGGAATGCCTACGCACACATATTGACCCTATAAAATGAGGAGGCCTGGATCTTGACGTACAAAAACTTACTAGCGTATAAAATGACCTGCGTGACATGTGGAAGAAAGATCACACTAATACTGCATATGATTGCAACAAATCCGATAAGATCAGTGCAGGATGTTTCTTCTCGCTGCCTTCACATTGCCTATCTTTGGGGCGCGCGTAGGCCAGTGCGTGGCCCCCTCTGCAACTGCTGGAATAATTCAAGAAACAACTCCTCACAGCTGCAAAGAATCTGCCTAAGCACGCGCATATTGCGCGTATGGTTGGCGTCTTCAACTTCACAGAGCGCAAGTTGCTGCGCAACTGGCAGTTGGCGTCTTCAACAACAATGAAGCGTGTTGAGCTTCACAGAGTGCAAGTTGCTTTGCAACTGGCTGGAAAAGCTTGTAAGCAATGCCTGCTTTGGGCACGCTGCATCCAAAGACCTTCAGCGCAAGAATCTATGCGCGCTCACATCCAACTTTGCTAGGGGCTCTGAACAGCTCAGCAGGCAGTGGTTGAGGCGGAGCGACACTGAAATCAGCAGGCGGTTGAGGCGGAGTACGCATCCCGTTGAACCTCAAAGTCACAAAGCCATCTCCTTCGGTCTGCAAGCACGTGGCGATGTGCAAAGCGATTTCTTCATCGGAGATGCTCCGGCAATCTAGGCAATCTAGTCGCGCAACACTGGCCATGAACACGGCACTGATGTAACCTTGTGCAATTCTGTCTTTGTCAAACGCATGCTCAGGTCCGGCCGGCGGACGCGGTGGAAATTGGTCATGCGTTTGGAGTGGCAGCACTTTGATGCAATTATCCATGGCATATCCAAGCTCAAAGTTGCTGGAGAACTTCGAAGCAGTCACTTCACCATAGTGCGGAGTGCATACGGCCAACATAACTCCATCCTCTTGTTTCAGCCGATGCAAGTATTTCCTCGTCAGCACTCCAGAGTCGTCACCGTGATCAGAACTCACCATGAGAACATCGTACTCATATTGTTGCAATATACGATGCACATCTCGAAATTTGCGTTCTGTCTCACCTCAGTTTCTTTTCAACTCAATGCATTTGGACAAGTTATACGCATTGCATATCCAGTAGGTTTTGAAGCAAGTTGCCACCGTCAAACCTAGCGGAGAACATGGCCACTTTGGATCCGTTGCCGTAAGGGAAGCGCTCGTTGGGGATATGGTCATCATCAAGCCTTGGCTCAAGACTGATACAACTTGAAATACAAGGCAGGCCAAGAACCAACTCCCAAACAATCTTCTAAGATGCTGCAACGGAGATCAAAAACATCCATCGTTGTCAATTTTGCGTTGCTGGGTGTTGCTGACTAGCTTGGTATTAGCGGCGCGCTGTCCCTGGGGGGTTGCCAATATTTGATGTAACTTTTGCTGGGGTCTTGCTTCAGGAAACACACCTGCCAAATATCTCGCATAATTTTCATTTGGGGTCTCCATGCCTCAGGAGTATAACATATCTGGCTCGTTCAAACTTCAAACTATTTTTTCTTAGCCGGCGGCCTGGCCGACCAGCGTTTGCAGTCTGCTGAATCGTGCGTGTCGGATGCTCAAGCGCGAGGTGAAGTGCGAATTCCGGCTTGCTCGATGAACCCTTTTTGCGGGATCGTGCGTGTTGAGCGCTTCAACGTGAGGTGAAGTTGCGGGGATCGTATGCGTGTGTAAACCGCTCTAACATGCGGATGTTGACCTTTCTGAATTGACAATTTCGAGAGCAGGGGGCCAGCGGCCGACAAGCAAACGCTGGCTAACAAAGCTACGCTTGTTCGGTGGATGCACAGACTGATCAACTGTGCACCTGCCTTTTCCAAAAGTTCTCAACGATGGTTTGCCTTATTGTTGGAACCGCTGCGCGTTGTTCTACATCAGGACGACGGTTGAAATCAGCCATTCTCTTGTTGCTTTCTTGACGAGTGGCTTCAAACATACTGCATGACCGACATGATCGACGGTCTCGCCAACTCACCTCTTTCCTGTCTTTCCGAGCTTCAAGGACACCTACTTAGGAGGTTCTGGGCTTTGCCATCATCCTATCGCTCCACGCTCCCAATTGATTTCCCAGTGTGTGTGTGCGCTGCATGGCTGTCGCCAACGAAGCTCCATGCAGTTGACTAGGATATCACGGCTGATCACCGTGACGTACCTGCGACGGTTTGAACTTTTGCACTCACAAGCTGTCACTCCAATTTTCGTAAAGGTCTAACGCACTCTGCAGATGTGAGCGGCCGCCGTCATTTCGACCTGTTCGTCGTATCGTTGGAGTTGGAACTTTGGCCTCTAGCTACAGGCGCTCAGGCCCCCTCGCCTGGTTTTTCAGGATTTGGTTTCTTAGGCTGGCGTGTGGCAACCGCTTTCAGTTCAGTACGCGTTTCTATAAGTGTGTCTCTCCTAGTGAGAGCCCAGGGTGACACCGAAAAGTGGCCCCTTTGGACCCGTCGAGCGGGCGATAGTCGTTATCTCCCCTGCCCGGAGATGTACGTGCCCAGAGCGGGCGTAGGTGGCCTAGGCCGAGAGAACTCAGATTTTTTCTTCTTTTTGGAATTCCAAGCTGGCTCATGCCCTTACGTGACCGCAGCGGTCTAAGCAGCCAGCCATTTTGCCACGGCGTACGTGGCCGCAGCGGCCGAAGCTTGTTCAAGACTCATTGGAGTTAGGTGCACACACAGCACGTACTTTAACTAGGCAGGTCTTCCTAGGTCTTCGTCCATCCAAAATGGACCAAACAAAGAATTCCCCGGAACCAGAGCCAGCCATGGCAGGCAAGCCAAAATGGCATGGCATTTTGGCTAGTGAAATGTATTAAGGAAACAAAACCTGCTTCCCACAGGTTCCAAGTACGTTGTAATGTAAATATAAATAGGATCCTATATGTTCACTTCAATTTTTCCACAAATATCTATTCTCAGAGATCATTGACCGTGGGCTCAAAGGTAAAGGGTTTCCTATAGGGCCTATAGGCTGTAGGAACATAATTTGTGTTGTATCTGGACGAAAGCTTTTGAAATGAAACCTGTTTGTTGCCTTCTGTGGGTCCTTGGGGGCTGGTCACCCCCCGCCACGACCCCCCGACATACTGTTTGCATTGGTATTTACAGTCAAAAACTCTGTGTCTTGTTCCGTTTTTTGTAGTATGTTACACTGCATACATGTTTATATTACATACGTGTCATCAATTTCTCTATCCATTATCTATAGGCGTTCTTTCCTTTAAAGATTACCAAAATCCAAAGCCAAAAAACTACATAATGTTCAGCAAGCCTTCCTGTTTGCAGTACCAGATATGGAGGGTGGGCTGCCACTTGAAAATTCAATCTAAGGTTTATGGAAAACCAAAAAACAGGCCTCACGGCGGCACACTTTCTTTTGCTTCTTGATGAGCAACCAGCTGTTACAGAATGCTCTTCAGACCACCATTTTATGCAAACATTTTAGGTTTTGCCTGCATGTGCCTGAAAAAATATTTCACCCATTCAATTGGACTCATGTAGCATGCGTGTTGTTTTGGGTGAAAACCTTTTTCTGAACCAATGGGAAAATTGATCTAGGAGAACTCGGACAATCAAGCTGGAGCTGACCTGCAATCAAGCAGCCAGGTGCGGTTGGGCTTTGGCCCGTCCTGCACTGAATGTCATACACGTCGATAAGTTGCAGGAAAATGGATTGCCCTAACAAATTGACACTAAAAAGTTTGTCGCTACAAATGAGCCGGAACATGAATGAACTGACCAGCCTTGCGTCAGCATCTGGCCCCCAGCACTGAAGTTCCCGAGAGGTTTCGGAAGCCTTTTGGGGGTTGTATGAGAGTTGACGTCGAGAGTTGCGTCGAAACACGTGCGCAAAAGGTAGACATACTGCCTGCGCACGTATGATCAAAATAGTTCCTTGCTGGACTCACAGACAAGCCAATTAAATGCAGCATCCCTTCCCAACCTTGCCACTAGACTCGAAGCTGGTCCTTTTTGCGGCAGCAAAAATAGGCGGCGCAGGCACCCAGGAAAATGCCAAAAATTCCGCTTCCGATAGGAGTCAATCTGACAGCATGCGGTCAATCCGTGTAACGTCACGCAATCATCAGCGCGATAAGACTTTGCAGTGGCAAAAACATATGCATTTAGGCATCTGCAGTTGCAACCAAGATGCAAAGGGACAACCAGATCGTCGGGTACCTTGGCAGGACGAGAACACAAAGGTGTATAAGGTTTCTTGTCGCACATCGTCTCCAGCAACGCTGGGGGGGTAGAAGCGTCTCACATGTTTGCGAACAGCAGGAAGGTCTAGCGTGGCATGGGTTGGGACAGAGCGGGCGGCAATTGGGCGCAGCACAGTAGCCCATAGGAAGAGCACGGGCTCTGATGCCAGGAGCCTCTAGTAGCTTCTTGTTCCTAGTAGCAATGCCAGGATATGTTCTGTTCATGGGGATCTCTACGTGTCTAGACATTGGCAAAATGCGTTCGAAGTAGCTCTGTGCAATTGGCTGTTTCTTCTCTAGACATCTCTACCATTCTCTACCTATCTAGGCTTGTTCAATCAAGTGCTCTGATTGTTGGACCTTCTTTCGACGTCTCTACAGGGCCGTACTTTGTTGTTCTGCGCAAGGTTCTTCTGCATTTCTGTTGAAAAAACTGTCTCGTAAGCTTTTCTGATTGCAATCTCCATTTGTCTATACTTTCCTTTGATTTTTCCAAGTCGCAGTGTGTGCAAAACCCTTGGATTCAGAAGGGACCTTTTGGTCTTTTATCTCAGCAGCGGGATGGAGAGGACATATTGGGGCTCCTCACAATATCATCAGCATGCCTGATGACGTACCTGCACTGATCACCAATCATTTCGTTCTGGGCCCCATTTGTCACTAGTCACTGGCATTGCATCGGTTTTGAGCCCTGAAGACATGCATTTGTCGCTTTCCTTGGAACTCTCGACGTTGGACTAGGAGGCCTTTGAGACTTTGAAGATGTTCAGACCACCTTCAGGATGCTTACACATGGCGGTCTACGTATGCCCGAACCACCACATATGCTACGGTCTGGGAGGTGAGTTTGATTTGACCTGGACGTTAGCCGGTAGCCTATTGGTCCATCAGCCTTTGTAATCATCAAAGTCACCCTGGCGACTTATCGACTTGGACCAGCGCAAGTACACTGTCGACGACCTCGATGTCACTCCCGCACACGCATTCCGAAGACTCACACTTCTGGATGGCTCTCCCCACCAACGGTGACTCTCGCGTCTGGGAAGCGGAACATCTTCTCTGTCTCGAAACCTCACCATGCAACTCCGTCCCCTTGGCTGTGATGAATACCCTCAGCGCAATGCCATTGGTGGGCCTCTTCCCGGCCCTCCGCTTCTTCATGACGCCATCGCCCAAGGTCGGATCCCTCTCACCGCCTACCCAAACCAGAGTCAACGCCATACCTTCTCTTGACTCTGTCTCACTCCCATGCCGGCACCTTAGCTTTGACAACGTAAAAAGCTTCTTGACTGCTTCGAGCGGGGGGCATGTTTGTAGGTGAACACCTTGGATTCAGAGGTCACCTTTTGGTGTTTCTTGTTTTTTGTTGAGCAGCGAAGATACCACAATCATGCAACTCGGCGTACCTGCTGTCTTACCTGAACACTTCCGTGACTTGGCCCCCTTTCTATTTGGAACAATTTTCTGGCCATCGCAGCCGTTCCTTCACTGCAGTCACGAGTTCGCCGCTTCGTGTCTCGTTCGACTCGAACTTTTGGATTGAGCCTTTGGAGTTGACCTTTCAATTTGCAACCTTTGGAACTGTTCAACTTGACGCCTTCAGGATTATAGGATTGTCAGACCCCCTTATATGCTTTACTCAGACCTGCTTTTACCTAGGTTCCCGTGTGGCATGAGGCAGTCAATCCCATACTCAATATCCCGAGTGTGTGTGTGTGTGTACCCCGCTAACAAAATGCTGAACCCAGAATTTCACGCAGGGGATCATCCATGCGCCGTCATCGATCGTCCAACGAAGCGGCCACAGTACATGCGGATTTCTGGGGTGATCGCCCTGACATGCCTGCATCTTGCCTAGGTCCTAAGTTGTCAATGGCGAGCAGCTAAGCCGCTAGCCCGTCATGCCATGTTCGATCGATTCGACATAAAGCTCCTCCAAATTCCTCCCAGAACACAACAGAGGTCAAAACCGCATTGACATGCATTGACAGATTCGGCACTTGACCTATTATATACTCTGTGTGTGCTCAACAGTTCACAGCGCAAGGACGGTGACAGCAAGAAGCTCAAGAACACGCACGCTACTTGGCTTGAGCAGCCAAACACAGCATCATCATCACATGTAAGCTGAAAACCACAAACTGCTTGCACAGAACAAATCAGCGCAACGCAGCTTACCAGCCAGGTTGCTGAACTCGGATCATCAGCTTCACCAGCAAAAGCCTCCGTTGTGGCGGAGCAGTTCTGTTCATTGCAGGCCTCTGTGGTAGCTGGCTTGCTTTCAGTGCAGTAAGAATCATCTCGTGGACATGTGACAACTCTGTTCCGCTCACCACCCCCACAGAGATGCGAACACGCACCCCAGCGTTGGATTTCCCACTGGCAGCTTGCGAGGTTGCAATCATCTGTCGTCGAGGGCTTGTCGTTTTGATTGCAATATCCAGGGTCCGGCGAGCACGAGACGCTGCGGGTCTTGGTGCCAGGGCCACATGTTTCAGAGCAAGTGGTCCACTCCCCGGGACTCCAATCATAGTCCACTTGAGTGCCTGTTATCAATTGAAGATGCGACACGCCTTGCACATCGCAAATCTCTGCTCGGCTGCACTCCCCCCCAAACGGCGGGATGAACGGTGTAGTGAAGACCTGTTTTGCCGCAGGTGATGGTGCTGTTTTGGTTTGGGGAAACCTGGCCGCTGCATCCGGGACTTGCTCCATGTTCATCTTTGGGCGAATCCCAACCACTGTTGGGATACTCGATCCAGTTCACGTAGACTCCCATAGTGCAGGTCATGGCGGTAAAGGATATGGAGTCGAAATAGCTGCCCGTACCAACGAAGGGATACTCACGCCATTGAATTCCATACCAGCCATCGACACTGGCGGGGGCCCTGAAGCAGGTGCGGGCAAGGCATGCCTGAAGAAGCGCAGCTACTCGCACCACGCGGCAGATGACACAAGACATGACATGCTTGGTCAAAATATATACACTCACTCACCGTCTTGGAGCCCAAAAGCATGTCACGGTAAGGATGGCATGCTAACGCGAACGGTCGGCTCTTGGTCGGCTCTCGGTTCCTCAACCGCCTGAGGACGATAATGGAAGACTCTCTTTTGGCTTTCTGCTACAGCCACAGGCCACGGAGGGCGCGTGGCTTTGACAGGTTGCAACCCTAGGTCAGAGGCCCCATGCATGGGCAAGCAAACCGTAATAACATATAATAGCTAAAACTCCAACATATAGTGTGGTTGGAACATGTTTTCTTAGAAAAGCATCCATCGATTGAAAGGAGAAGCCCCCAATATGCTTTGAAAAGGCGTTGGCCCTTCAGGTCCAATGGTCCGAGTTCCAACAGGGTCGACTGTCAACGCAACCGGTCGGATCTTCCGATCGCTGTCGTTTTCTGCTCAGCTGCCTTTCACTTCACTGAACGGAAGAGAGACGCACAAGCCACCCGCAGTGTGGGCGCACTCACCGCTCTCACTGCTGGGTCTGCTTCAACCACACCTGGGACGAAAACACAACCTGAAAACGTTGGAAATGACCACGGGCACCTTGACGCCAGTGGACTCGCCTCAAAAAACATTGCTCCAGTTCATCATTGCCATCAAGCATGCAAAATCCTTCTATTCATGCATGATAGTACATTGTACATACTACAACAAGAACATGCCCAAACATAGCAAATCAAAGGGCTCCAGAATTGACAGCAGGTAGGTGGGTACAGGAATACAAGCGTTCCTCTCCCCCACGGTTCAAGTCGGTGACGGCAAACCCTTCAGGATCGGCTTCCCAATCGATGCTACTGTGAAGCCCAAGCTAGCAACTGTAGTCAATACCACAAAAATACAAGGTATTCGGGAAAGAGTTCAACTAGCAGAGATACCCGGGGTAGCTGGAAACAACCTGGCAGGGAAGCGTCTTTGAGAATGAGTACGTACGTGTGGTAGCTGCAGATTTTGTGTTCAGGGCAGGTCTCAGCAAATTGAGAGTGAGGGTACAAGCTTTCTTGGCTCAAATCTTAGATATCTATTCAGTCGCTGGGACAAAAATGATTCAGATCTTAGTAAATCTCCAGTTGAATGGAAATATTGCAAATAACTGCTTAAAGTACAAGACAGCAAAAACTCCAAACCGGCTGCTGGTGATTGATTGTGGAGTGCATCATATTTGCTGTCACAGACATTCGTTGAGCATGGGGATTTGATTAGGCACACCAACATCAGTACAGTTGAAGGAAACAGCTTTTGGAGCTTCGTGCACACATGTGTCTTCACTGAAAAAGCTATTCAGCGCTGAAGAGCACCAAAAAAGTTCCCATAATGCGGCTCCCGGTGTTGCATCCATTGAGCTTGGACCGTGGAACAGACATGGCAGATCTGCCCCAAAGAAAACAACTGCCGTGGAGATGGGCTATTCAGCCATCCAATGTCATCTGATCATTTTTTCAGCTGAAAATATCCTGTCCTTCAGTGTTTCCTTCTCCTTTTGGGTAGGTGCTACGTGCTTTGTCACGCAAGCACTTTGCAGTCCTTTGGTGGTATCTAATTCAGATATGCTGTTCCAACACGCTGGAAACTTGACATCTGGGCAAGAAAGCGCACCTGAGGAAAGCTGGGGCGGTGTTTTGGTCGGGCTCATGGATATGAAAGGTATGCTTCATGTCTTCCAAGTGGAAGACATGAATATCTGGCAGAACTTGGACTCCGAAGAGGCTGGAGAACTGAAATGCAGTCCATTCACCGTAGTGTCTGAATCCAAAGAAGGCTGGAGAAAAGCTATGCCAAGGACAGTCGCATCAAGCTGGAAACATCAAAGCTCTTCTTTGGTGCTTCATCCAAAGACAGCTTTGACCGTGGCGGTCTCTAAAGATTCGAAAGACTTCCATGACTCCATGACCCATGAGAGCGCGCAAAGCGGCTTTGCAGTTTGCTTGGTATTTTGAGATCATGTGTCAATGGTTGTCCGGGTGCTAAGGAACGGCATGTAGCGGAAATTGCTCATGCCTGTTGAGTGGAAGCACTTTGATGCAAGGGCTGCAAGGCATGGCCATTGGAGAATCTACTTTCAGTCACTTCACCAGAGTGCAGAGTGCATACAGTCAGCGTCACGTGCAAGTACTTCATTGTCACCGTGATCAACACTTGCCCTGAGAACGGCGCAGTTGTTGGGACGGCCATAATCCAATTTGCGCTCCATCTCACCTCAGCTGCGAATCAGTGCAATGGGCAAGTGATTTTGCAGGGAGATTGCAAGTGTATGAGATTATCAAGTAAGTTGCCACAACCTAGCGGAGCACACCGCGGCTTTGGATCCCTCTCCGGAGGAGACCTCCTTCAGCCTGGGCCACACTTGCAAGCGGCAAGCGAAGATAAAACAGACCAACAGAACAAGTAAGCAATGTGCCATTTGCAAAGCTATCTGCTGAACTTGGGCCAGCACCAACAGCACACGGATCAACCCCTCAGGAAAAAATGAAGGGGATGACATCTTCAGAAGGGTAGTTTTGCTAAATGCATCCAGACCTTGAATTCCAACTATCCACATTCCATCGATGCCATCATGGCCGCATGATCACTGCGAGCTGTTGGAGAACCTGCCAGTTGTTGTGACTGAAACCCATGCAAAAAGTGGGACACCTCAGCCTGATCGCGCACTCTTGAGAAGGAAGCAAAGCTTGAGATTTGAGCACCCACATGTAGACAAGCATCAAGGTGCAATAGGATGCAATAGGTGTATTTACAGTATCCAGATGAATTTGTCACGCAGTTCCCGTCACCACACAGAAACCTTCTCCAATAGTGGGCCTGGGAGTAAATCATCGCAGAACACACCACAAGCTTTGAGAAAAAAACCCGGAACTGTTTCCCCAGTTCGCGTCTTCTTTTGGACACTAAGAAAGAACAGCTCAAAGGCGAGCACACCACCCACAGACTGGTTCAAAGGTGCACACATATCATATAACTCATATAACCTCCCCAGTAGCCTCCAACTGTCAGTGGGAAGAAATATGCTAGCTTCACCTGGCTCTCCAACGAATACACTCAAACCAACACCCCCAACAACACCCGTTCATTGTACGCAACACATGGGCGGAACGGCAGGAGCCCGGCAGGTCCGAACACCCCCCGCCCAAGGGGTGTGTCAGGCACGGCGAAGCCGCACCAGCCCCCAGTCGAAAACTTGTGAAATGGGGGGAACTACCAAGCTCAGGGCACACAAAGGGCTTCAATTGCTTCCGTGCTCTCTCACTTCCTTTCATGCTTCCTTGCGTCCTTAGCATTGCTGGTTTCCTTGCTTCCTTCTTCGCGGAGAAAGGAAGAAAAAGCTGAGGAATTGAAAAGAGGCAACAGAGAAAGCCAACGTACCCCCCCGTGCTTTGCCTCCATTCACGTTCGGTGCTTTTCGTGCACCGAGTGAAGACCGGCGCAATCGAAACAGCCCCACAACCCACGCGTCGCCCACGTCGTGGCGCTGGTCGCTCGTCGTCGCAAGCGTGAACCGCGTGACCCGCTCAGCGGTTGGTTGCACCGCTGACCACAAAGGAGTCTGCAGAGTCTGACGAAAAGCGGCGAAAACTGCTATCACGATGTAGTCTGCAACAACACCAGGAGTTACATCGATCACACAAACTCGGTTGCATATCAAAAATCTTGCACTTGGGTGGAATGATGGAATGGCTAAAGCTAAAGCAAAGCAGGCACATGAACGGTGACAAACACCGTTCAGGATGTGAAGCACTTAAGAACATTAAATGATGCGCATATTATGCTGCGTAATAATCCCACCTTCTCCAGAGTTCCTGTTTCGAGCATCGTCAATCAAACGCGTCGGATGTCCTATGCAACGACCTGGAGCTTTAAAAACAAACTACCCTTGAAAATCGCAAGTTGACCATGTGGCTTCTGAACCCGCCAGAAGTAGTTTCTGAACCCGACAAGACAAGATGCTGAACCGTAGTTTCTGAACCCTGTCTTTCTGAACCCGGGGCCAGTTTCTAAGCTTAACCATGCGCAGGCCTCAGTTTCCAAATAATGCACATCGTTGGGAGCGCCTCAGGCAAAGCGACTCCAATCATTCAAACGGAGTGAGAAATTCACAAAGCCTGAGCCCGAAACCGCTATCCGCCGCTATCCCATCGCTCCTCACCATTGATGGGTGGCAACGCTTCCAACCGCTGGAAACGGGACGTGGAACGCACCGGGTACAGCCCTCCGTCGTCGGCGATGGTCTGCCTCCCGGCTCTGAACAGCCCCAAACGGATGGGAACCCTCGGCCGCACCGCGCTCGGTGTGTGAGGTTCGACGCCCGGATGTTCGACGCCCCAAGATCTCGCCTAAGTCTTTCCTGGTCGATGTCCCTTCACCGAACCTTCCGAGAGCCGGAGACTCTGGGGTTCGGTCGAGATACTGGTTGAGCTAGACACCCAGATCGACACACTGATGTGCTTCGTAATACAGCTCCACTGCAGCTGTCATAACACACATTGACACACAATGGCAATGGCCTTAGGGCAAAAAAGTATACTTATATACTGTTCCTAAACGTGGAGCCTTTCGTAAATGCCTAAGAAACGTGGCGCCTCGGCATAAGCAGCTCAGCAAAGCCAAACAAAGCCTTCCAGTGAAAAAGAGCTCAGCCATTCCACTGCTTTCAAGTGGTTTTTTTCGCAGCTTCACAGCCTGCCTAGTGGGCCGAAAGAAAAGCACCACGGCAGCAGCAGCATCCGGGGTGACTGTTTTTTCGGCCCAAAACGTTGCGGCGTGTTCAAGGATAGGAAGCAATTCTGATGAAAGCGCATTCTGTCAGACACAAACAAAATTGTGGTCTACTACTGGTGACACAAGCTCCTTTTGTTCTCCGAATCCTTCTGTGGCTAAATCCACGGCTTTCAAATCAAGCCAAAGTGAAAGTCCACAAAGATGCGAAACCGGAAGTGCTCGGCAAGCAGCACGCGCAAGCTCCGCCCTGCCCAAGAGGATCACTGTGAGTCCTTTCTTCGCACACGCCTCACCTTGACCACTCCCTTCTTCTTGGGTTTTCGCCCCTTTGGTCTCGTTGATGCCAAGTCACTTTCAGACTCGCCTTCAACCTGAGCAGAACTGCTGGGCACCATCTCACTCTCCTTGGAGCTCTCTCGTTCGCCGGTCACGGTGCTCCTCTTCCTTCGGACCCTTCGCACTCGTCGACTCTTCCTCGCCGGCGACCGGTCGACGTCTTCGACGTCGACGTCCACGGCCACCGCGTCCGCGTCGGCGTCGAGACCCTCGGGGCCCGGCGCAGCCATGGCCCGCGCCGCGGCGAAGCGGCCGAGGTCTCCGTCGAAGGCGCAGGCTTCGGGGCTCAAGCAGGGCCAACAGCCTTTGGGGAGCGCTCGCAAGTGCTCCACAGTCACTCCACATCTGAGCAGCTTCAAGGACGTGAGCTTTCGGCAGCGGGCCAACATCTGCAGCACTGGCTGTGCTGGGTCGTTCTCAAAGCAAAAGCTAAAGTTTGCAATCTTGAGCTCAGGCCACTCGGCATTGCCCAACAAATGCCAAGCATCGGTGGAAATGCCTTGGCAATTGGAAAGATTCACGTTCACCAACTGGCGGCACTGGACCATAAGCCTCAGTACCGTTGAGGCTCCCTGTCCTTCGCTCCGGGGGAAGCAAAAGCTCAGGTTGGCCTCTTTCAGGTGTGGCCATTGAGCCTTGCGCAAGCACTCCCAAGCCTCTGCCGACGTTCTGCACCTATGCACACCCGCCGCGGCATCCAACAGCTGGAGACACTGACCTTGCGCCAAGCGCGGCAGCAGCGCGTCACCCTGTTTCATCACCACGTGGATGGGACATTTGGGGAGGAGCATCTGTGAAGTCTTGGACGTCACATGGGAGATGAAATGGACTTTCTCGATCTTTTGAAGCTGCTGGGGTGCGCACACCTCACCCTCTTTGTTGCACCCGAAGTTGCAGAGCTCCCACCGGAGATTCACCCAAGGATTCTGCACCAGGTGCTGGTCCCAAGCTTCGTTGGAGAGCCACCTGAGACCTTGGAAGTTCAGCACCTCAATCTTGGAAAACCTCCCCAAGGCCTTCAGGACAGCGGCTGCAGCTGTTTCCTCAGCGGTTTCCTCCGGACCCTGCTGACACGTCTCGTGAAAACACGAGACCTTTCGTAGCTTGGGCCACTGGGCAGCTTTGAGTTGCTCCTGCAGAGCATCCGGACCTGAGAATTCAAAGTAACAATCGACAAAGACCAACTCTTCAAGCAGCTTGCAATTGGCCAACTTGGCTATGATCGCCACAACTTCTTTCTTGTCATGCTTCCCCCCGAACACGACGAGCAACTTTCAGTGGCCAATGCAGACGATCCCAAACAGAACTCCAGTGCGACTCAAAGTCGCATTCTGAAAGGTCTATGTCGATGACGTTGATGCAAGAAAGCTCTTCTAGTTGCTTCTGCAGCATCGGCTGAAGCTCCCTCATGGAGGAGGCTGGCACAACCACTTGTGTTGCGGAAGCACTGGCCAACTTTTGCAGGATATTGGGGCTCTTCAGCGCCTCCAAATCGAGCAACACGGTCTCTGCTGCGGCCAAGAGCGGGAGTGGAACTACGGATTCTTCACTTGCTGTTGCCAGCATTGTACACGCGAGAGGCTGCCCCTTGCCAATCTGCTCCAACACTGGATGGCCCATCTGATTCCCGAGAGAGTGAAGCACCAGCAAGCCCAAAGTGCTGCTGATGCATGTCGCAACAGACATGGCAAACCAGGGCCATGACATGATCTGCGCTTCTGGAAAAAGATTGCTGTTCAGCTGGACTCCTTGAAGGCAAATGGCTACAACTGGCAGCAGCACATGGATTCGTAGAGACCACCGCAAGGGCAACATCGAACGGGATCCAAGCATCACTTGCCCCGGATGGGCTATCACGGCAGCAAAAATCTGTGACCTGTCTGCTTCTGGAAAGAAGTACCATGCCGATGCTGCAAGTAAGACAACTGCGGCTGGCCCTCCCAAAGGAACCGCTAGCCTGGTTGAAAAGTGCACGATGTTGATGGCCAGAAGCCTGCTCATTACTTCAAGGGCTCTGACCAAAATCAAGGCAGCAAGAGTTGGGCTCCAGCTCAATTTGCCAGGCACATGTAGTACCCTGGAATCCTGCTTGTCTCTGCTAGCGAGCCCGAAGGCTAAGGACAAACAGGAAATCAAAACTGACACTCCTAAGGCTCGGAATGCTTGCTGTGAGACAGACTCGATCCCAACGACGATCAAGAGCAAGAAATTGCTCTGTAAACAGGCTGACACTATAGCTTCCGCCACTTCAGCGTGCTTTGCGCAGAGTAGCAAGTCGTGCTTCGAGCGCATGAGTGCTGAAGCAACCGCCAAAACAAGCATGTGGCACTGAGTCAGCACGCAAGAAAGGATCAACAAAATCCTCACACCCCTTGATGGAACTAGACGTCGAAACATGTCACACTGGGGTCGAGCCACTTTGCTTTCGCTCCATTGTACAGCTTCGATCATAGTAGTCAGCATTGGGACTCCTACTCCAAGACAATTCAAGGCCAAATAATCAAACTTCCCCTCAGAATAAAACAGAGTCAGCTGCTGAAGGTCTGTGGCCACATCAAGATAATAGAACCCAACTGCAAATACCATGAGTTCCATCCAGAAGACTTTGCTTTGTCCAGTCGCACACTCGATGTTCATCTCAAATTTGTATTTAAGACCTGTAATATGATGCCGTTGACGACCATGGAAGGCGCGCAAGCTGGTCACTTCAGTCTGGTCGGATGCCAATCCTCGCAAGGAGTTTGGCTGTCCTGGAAAGGGATAAGACATGGGGAAGACTTCGCGCGACAGTGGTTCCAGCCAAACGCAATCCTTGCTCTGCAAGATTGCTTGGACATTGAAGTATAGAGTACCTCCATTGTGCTGGGATTTCACTTCATGCATCTGAAAGCCCAGCACCTTCTCACCAGATCCCAACTGCAACGTCTCGTACACTTTCATCTCTTTTGAAACACCCTTGGAATCTTCATCAGTGGCAAGTCTCAATCTTTGAACCTGATCACCAAGACACAAATCAAGCTCCAGTAGAAGGTGCACCTTGGCATCCTCCCAGTGTTTCTGAGTCTCGTAGTGGCCTCTCCCACCGGTGCGGATGTTGGAAGACACGAAAGTGGCGCGGATGAAACGACCTTCCTTTGGAAGCATGTCCGACCACCGACCGCTGTACTTGGCCACACTGCCCGCATGGGTCAGTTCTACTGTACAAGTGAAGACCTCAGATTATGGCATTCCCATGTTTCTAACTGTTTGACCAATTTGACATGTCTCATGCATGTGATTTGAGATGCTACGTGATGTTCATCTGCAGGTTCTGAAATGGTCTGGCTGTCTCAATGAATGAGTAGTGGCATGGATGCATGGATCTTGGGAGCTATTTCTTGCATGTCAAAGACTCCTCTGCCTTGAGCCCAAATATGTAGACTCTAGCACTGGAAAAACGAAAAGAAACCAAAGCGCCACCACCGAAGCGCCAAAGAGATTGTCACCGAACCCATCTTCAAGAGCCAAAGCATGGTTTGTGAGTCCATGCTTGGTCTTCAGGTCTGAGAGGGGAAGAAGTTGTAACCAAACCTCCTGATTGAAAGATGCATAACCTATCAAAGTTGGGTTGCTTTTATTCTTCAAACGAATCCAACCTATTTTCACTGCCACCTGCTACTCAAAAACTCCAACAAAGTGAGGATGAGACTCCTTGAGAGCCCCAAGAATAGAAAATGCATGGCAAAACTCGGGGGCGGAGACTGGAGCTGCTCCAGTCTAAGGCGCTGTGGAAATTCGAAATCGTGCAGAAGAGTCCTGTGCTGTTGGACATGTGTGTGTGTGTGTGCTTTCAGCATGTCCACTGGCGAGAACAGCCTCATATGCTTCTCTGGTCCCTTGCTCTGGAGTTCTTTTTGCTGTCACATTTTTGCCATGGCACAAAACGCGGACGTTTGATTCGCAACATCCCTTTCAATAGGCTGAGATCGTGATGCCTTGCACTTGCGGATCGGTCGGAGTGATCCTTCCCCCGTTCCAAGGACTTCATCCCTCCTTCTACGCCGGTTCGGCGTGGAGGGACCCCCCCCCCGCCGCCGCGGTCGTTCGGTCCTTCGGACGCCGGACGCCGTCACGCGGCACGTCCGGATCGCAACGAGACGTTGCAAGGTCCGGCGAAAAGCACGTCGTAGGGCAGAGAAAAAGAATCGAACCAAGCGCAACGCAAGAACTGAATCCAGGCACATCCGATGTCGGTGGTCCCTATTTTCAGCCGTTGCTACACCAGGAAATAGAAAGGCAGCCAATAGAAAGGGCTCTTTCAGGTATCTGCTCAGAAATGGGACCCCAGCCTTTTAACCTCCTTTGTTACATGTGCAACTGTGCAACTGCTGAAAAGAGACTGCTGTTTCTCTAGGACAGCTGTTTCTCAGAAACAAAACAGTTTCACTGCCGCGAGAATCCGAACGAAGGGTAGACTTTGCAAGTATCGGCCTGAAAAAGTGTTGATTTTCAGTTTGTCACATGAAGCCCACGCGGCTAGTCGTTTTGTCATGGAGCATCCTCAGACACGCATACAGCCTGGCCGCTCCGCTCCGTTTCACTTCTTCGAAGTTTTAGAGCAACACGTAGCGTGGGTTGCCTACTCCTTTCTACGAGCCGCAGTTGGTTTTACATCAGCCATCTGGTTACACGATGGGTTTTGGGTTGCCCCATGCACTACAGATGAAATACTGCTAGAATTGCACCACCACCTTAGCGCGGAATTTGGCTTTGCAGCCTCTGACCCGCCCCTGATGCGGTGTGACCCTCTCAGGCACAAGCGTGACCAGTTGCTTGCCCAGCTGGCAGCCCAAACTGCTTTCACAGGGTATGTACCAGCTGGCGCCGAGGTGCTACATCCCCTACCTCCGATTGTTCGGATTTGGCGCAAGCGCCTCTATCAGGCAGCTAACGAAGAACATCAGGTAGCTCTTGAACAGAGACTTTCTAAACGGGCCAGAGTTGTTAACTCCACTAAAAGGAGAAGGCTATAGACTCTAGTCCAGGTGTTGGCTGCTAGTGTGAAGTGCGATGAACCAAGTGTCAGGAACCCAGCGTCCTCTCCCGACGCCCTGAAAGTTTTGGGAATGTTGAAGGGGAATTCCGAAAGTGGGCTAGGAGTATAGACAACTTGTGTCAGATTTGCTTCGTACTCAGTCTTTTCGAAGCGAATCTGCCGCAGTGCACTACATTTTTCACAGAGGATGCACAAGTCACCTTAGGCTAGTAAAGAGAGAGATACGAACCAAGCAGCAAAACCAAAAACAGAACAAACAAAACCAACAAACAAAACCCACCCAAAAAGGTGCAAGGTTCGTACCTCAGGTTGGCTGCGTCAGCCAATGGAGAAGAGTGAAACGAGGTGAGACGGAGGGGCAACGAATTCATCCTTCACGCTCAGTACTTCACGATCTGGGCATTGCTATTTTTCCTCGAAAGAAGCAGTGAGATTGGTGCACTGCTTTTGAAATCTGTTGAGATCAATCGCACTCTGCCTGCGAGAATGTTCGATGAGGTTTCCCAAGGTTTTCTGAGGTTTTCTGAGGTTTTCAGCTTTGCAGTCGAAGTGCCTCGCTTCAAATGTGGCTTTCTCGCACTGAACACATTATCACAGGGCATGCACATACAACTTTGCCAGGCAGCTTCACCCATGGTGTGTATACCTGCTTCCACTTGTACATGCCTAACATCTGAGATGTGTGAGAATGCATGCGGCAGTGCTCGGTCAGTGCCATTGGAGGGACCACAATTGACTCTGCTCCTCAACTGCCCTTTGTGCTCCGCCTGGGTGAAGAATCAGTTATTCTCACGCAAAGTGTCCAGATTGGAGGGCGGTTACCTATGTCACCGTCCCCAGTCACAGTCCTCACGATCGCCATTGTCACATGGCCAATCTCTGGTCTGCTCGCTGCTTTGTTAAGGCTCAAGCATACGGACGGGCCGTGATCCCCAGCGATGTTTGGAGACATCCATCTTATCCCGAGCTCACCGGCAAGTGAACGGAAACGTTCCAGCCAACCTGCTTGCCCCCACTCCCTTTGAGGGATGCCTTTCACTTCTGCAGGTTAACTTCGAGAAAACAGCTGCCGACCCCTTGAACTGCACACGTCATAAACTCCAGAGATGCTTCCTAGGGTTGGATGCCCCACGAATGAAAGCATCCTTTGCGGGATTCCTTCTGGTGGGGGCAGCGTGGTAGGGGCGACTGGCCCCGCCCTGGTGCGAGGCAGGCGCAGGTGCTCCGGTCTACAGTGCATACTGGGTTCGTGAACGAGTTCTTGGCAGGCGCATCCAGATGTGATGCTGTTGGAGGTCTTTTAGGCTGAAGGTCAAGACCCATCCATCTCGGTTAAGTTTGGAGAAAACCGTCCCAGTTTGATGCCCCCACTTCCCTCCCCCCAATTCCCTGTCCCCAGTTCCCTGTCCCAGTTCCCTGCCCCCAGTTCCCATCGCCAGGTCCCTGCCCCCGAGTTTCCTGTCCCAAGTTTCCAGTTCCCTGTCCCAGTTCCCTGTCCCCAGTAACGAGGGGAGGGCAGCAGACAACCCTTTCCTGGCAGTGGGCGCCTACCGGAAAGAGATGCAATACAATAACGAGCCACAAATGCCCCGAACGCCGTGGGCGGAAAGAGCCTATGTCTCACGGGCGCTCGACCCTTCAATAGGTCAGTCCATGTCATTTCCTGCCTTGCCCCAGCTCAAACTTCGGGTGGAGGTCCCTCTCTGGACCGATCCTATAGAAGCCAGACACCCCCCCATCTGGTGAGTCAGATGCCGATTCAAGCATCACAGGCACAAACAAACCTTCGCCAAGATTTGCGCAACCGGTGCCTGTGGGGGGGGCAGAAAATCAGGAACTGTCGGAAGAAGGGTCAACTGAAGAAGAGGATGCTGACGCAGACCCCACCTATTTAGTTCCGCAGGGACATGGGCATTTTGCCCTCCGATGGTCCCGACTTGCCACTGCGGCCGACAACTTTGCCAAGGGCAATGCACAAACGGAAAGCACAATCATTGCTAATTGGCTAACCTCCGGGTTAGAAGTTGCAATGAACAGGATGGGGTGGTACCTCCTCTCCTCGAGGCAAGAGCTCACTAGACTGAGCGATGATGACCTTTATTCCCACTACCATCACGGCTACCCGAACTGCCACGAAGACGACCGACCATATCAAAAGCATGGTGATCACGTGTGCAGTGAGAGGGAATGGCAGAACATGAGTTACTGGCTCACAGGGGATCCTATATTTCTCAAGAAACTTGCAATCCATCGCCGTGAGCTATATGAAAAGACTGTAGGAGCTCGGCGGGTCGCTCCACCTGTAGGTACAGGTAGCTCCTCTTCCACTGCCCGCTTTCCCAATCGCAATCGACCTCCCCCTCCGCCTCCACCTAGGTATTGGGGTCCCCGGTAGACAGATTGCAACAGCTGCACGCAGAGGGGGCCCTAGCTTCTTGCCACCTTCTAAGAGTCAAAGGTAGAAGAATGTTCTGGCCTCAGCTGCTGCATTCTAGTGGTCCCTTCCAGGAGGAGTTGATATTTCGTCTAACGTAAGCAAAGCATCTAGGCTCAAGGACGCAACACAGCCATGTCGCACAGCCAGCAGCAAGGGGTACCACCGGTCTGCATTGAGCCGCATACCATCGTGTTGGCTACGCTTGCGGGCAATGAATACCACATGCCTGCAAACTTAGCACACTATGAGGACCTCTCACAATTGGAGGATGACATCGTCAGCTTCCTGCCAACGGTCTCTGACATTGAAGTGTTTGGCTGCGAAACTGACCTCATTGAGCCGGACACTCAATTGCCATTGCGAGATCCCTTCCATTCCACTACTGCAGCGAAACAGATTCGCTGGACCTTCGGAGGCAGCCAAATGTCGACTAGGGCAACACAATACGCAAAGGTGGAGCTCCAGATGGCAGTGATGTCAGTACACATAAGGTCCACCCCCACAAGCCGCTTGCAGTTCTCACACGCCTTCGGGCCAATGAAATGA